CCCAGTTCACTCTTCCTCACAGGTAAGGGTTCTGATGAAAAGTCAACATAGTTTGGTTCATTAGGTTGGTTCAGGGCCTGGTCCCTCTCCGATGCATTAAGACTGAACATGGCTTTCCACCATGGGGAATGGGCACCAACAAGCTAGCTCAAGTAACAGGTTTGTATTGTGGTCCTACTGCCAGGGGACCCTCTGATAGTCTAAGCTTCGCTACTGTCTCCCACATTCAGAGGTACTAGTTCAGTCCACTGGAGTCTCCACAGTTTTTGGTCTAGAGTTAATGAGTTTCCACAAGCTTGGTTCAGCTGTCTTCGTAGATTTCTCCTTCATGACCTTGATCTCCCTTGCTCATATATTCCCTCCTCCCTCTCTTCAACTTCCCAGAGCTTGGCCTGGTTCTTGGTTGTGGATCTCTGTGTCTGGTTTCATCAGTTACTGGATGAGGGCTCTATGATGATAGTTGGGGTATTCATCAATCTGATTACAGGTGTAGACCAGTTCAGGTGTCCTCTGAACTATTGCTAGGAATCTTAGCAAACTCCATGATCCTTTGGTTCTTTTAATATTTCTTCCCCCTCTTCTGTAATGTTTCCTGAGCCTTAAGTAAGAGGGTGTTTTTCAGGTTTATGTAGGGAGTAGGCTCCACAACTCTATATTTTTATTAGTTGTGATTTTATGTGGTGGTCTCTGTTCCAAGGTAAGTTTCCTTGATTAGGGGTGAAGACAAAGCCTTTCTGGACATCCCATTTTACCTATTCAAAAGCAGGCATGATTGATTGTGTTCAAAAGACAGATAAAAGAGAACCTTTTCAAAAATACTGTTGGACCTGAGTGGGTGATTTTTCTGCTTTCTCTCTCCATCTCTTCTACTCAGAAGCCTCTGGGTATGCTAGGTACACTTCAGTAATATGTGATTTTTGAGGTCCTGGTTTCATTATTTCAAAGAAAGATGTATACATTCCAAGTGTTAGGGTTCTATAACATTAACAGTGTGCTGCAAGCTCTGTCTTATGACTTTTTTGTTTTAATTTTTATTTTAGAACTTTGTGCCCTCTTTTTTAATTTTTATTTTAGAAATACTCTTATTATATATATATATATATATATATATATATTTATATATCAATCCCCCATTTCCTCTCCCTTCCATCCTCCCATGCCCCTCACTGATCCCCCACCCACCTCTCATCCACTCCCCAAGGATAGTGAGGCTTTTCACAGGGGATCATCAAAGTCTTTCACTTCATTTGGGGGAGGGCCAAGCCCTCTTTCTTGTATCTGGGATGCAATAGTATCCCTCCATAGGGAATGGGCTCCCAAAGTCCATTTGTATACTAGAGATAAACACTGGCTCTGGTCCTCTGTTAGAGGTCCCATAGACTGCCCAGGCCACCTAGCCTGCACCCACATTCAGAGGGCTTGGTTCGGTCCAATGCTGGTTCCCCACCTTTACAACTGGGGTCCCTGTGCTCTCACTAGGTCAGGTCAACTGTTTCTTGGGTTTCTCCAGCACAGTCTTGGTTCCTTGGCTCACCTCTCCTCCATCTGTACAACTGAATTCCAAGAGTATGGCTCAGTGCTTAGCTGTTGGTGTCTGCTTCTGCATTCGATCAGTTACTGGATGAAGGCACTAGAATGGCAACCATGGTAGTCATCAATTTCATTATAGGGGAAGGGCAACAAAGGCAGCCTCTCCACTACTGCTTAGATTCTGAGTTGAGGTCATCCTTGTGGTCTCTGAACATTGCCCTAGTGCCAGATTCCTCTTTAAATCTATATTGGCTCCCTCTATTAAGTTATCTCTTATCTTGCTTTCCTCTCTTCCTCCCCAGTCTCAGTTTTCCTGATCCCTCTTGTTCTCTCCCCTCCTCTTCTCCTCTTTTTCCTACCTCCCTGTAACCCAGTCACAGAAAGACAAGCATGGCATGTACTCACTCATATAAGGACACTAAACATAGAGCAAAGACTAATAGCCTCATGACTTTTTTACTGAAGTTTTCAGTAGATTCTCAGAGTAATGACAGCTTACAAGCATATGGGAAATCTTTGAGTTAAAATCAAGATCAATCTACTTCCTAAAAGTCTGGTAGATGCTTTCGAAAAGGGCTATGGAAATTCATTGAAGTAGAATGTAAATACTCTGGGTACCCTGGTAAGAACAACTCCCAAAAGATGTACTGCTTGAGGGGAGATTTCAATATTTATTTGATTAGGTTAAAGTGACCACTAGGAAACAAATCGTCCTAAACACAAGCAGCACCAATCATGTATGAACTTCTAGAGACTATGGCAGCAAGCCTGATGGGGTCCAAGAACTGAATGGGGAAGTAGACACAAGCTCTAACCTCTAACACAGAAGCTATTACCAATTGCAAACTTCTCACAATTGAAGGATAACTTTTTGCCAATGGAGTGTTGCTAGATATACAAATGACTCTTAAAGCCAAGGCCCATGTTCTGTAGAAGATGGCTAACACCAAACAAACTCAGTAGTATTTTGGAAGGTTTTATTTATCTCATATGTGTGTTTACAATTGTTGTCTTTTTTTGTTGTTTTGCTGTCTTTACTGGTCCTTTGTGTATATATTATGGTTTCTAGTTTTGAGGTTTTATGGGATTTCTCTCTGTGTCTCTGTGTGTTTGTTGATCTTTTTCTTTGGCTCATTTTCTTCTGTTTGCCCTATGTTATTTTTGTCTTTATTTAACTAATTTTATTATTACTATTAATTATTTACTTATATGCCTCTTTGTATCCTAATGAGAGATAGGGTATGGATTTAGGTGGGTGGGAGGACCTGGGAGGAGTTGGGGAAAGAAACCATAACCATAATCAGAATATATAATTTAAAAAAAATCAATTCTGAAGGATGGAGGGAGGGGAAACTTAGGTGAGGACATAATGTATAAGAAGAGAGTAAAAGAAAAAAGAGATTGCAAAAAATCTGTTCTCAATTTTTTAAAAAAGTAACTATTAATGAATCTCAACTGTACTACAGGTAGGCCCCCCCAAATATCAAAACGATTGACTTCTGTACCTAAAGATCGTGTGGAATCTTCCCAGATAACATCAATAAACAAAAATATTAGGGAAAGAAACTGTACCTTGGTATTTAGATAACTTTAAATTTATCCTTGTGAAATTTAATTGGTGGAGAAGTTCAGACTAACTCAGAGCATGAAGGTATGTGACTGGGTATATGTTCATGTTGATAACTATGGGTCTGTTTAGTATCTAGATCCTGGGACTGTCTTGGTTGATTTTTGTCCTCTACTTGTGACTCCAATGAGGTTTCAGTTACCATGTCTAAGGCTTTTCTTGAATTGTGGTTTGCTTGGGATAGTCAGTTCTAATGGACGGTGGTAAGAATCTCTCTTTCGGCAGGGAGCATAGATTCCTCATCATCAGATGACATGTCACTTCAGTTCCCTGTTCTACGGGGTTATTGAGATTTACAGGGTGGATTTAAACTCCTCCCAGCCAAGTCCATGTGCTGCAAGCTTGAGTCCTAGGTTGACACTGTAAGAAATGCTGGAACATTAAGTGGCACTACCAAGAATAAGACTCTGAAATCACCGCCATATACCTGGGTGTACTGTGGGATCCAAGTTTTTCATTGCTTCATGTCTTGAGCAGAAAGTACTTGCTCCCACAATGATGATGTGTGACATTTATCAGAGGCTGAATAAAGTTGTGCCACCCAATATTAAGTTTGAGCCTCCAGAACAATGAGTTAAAAAAAGATCTCCTTGCTTTTTGATTGGCCTATTGCAAGGTTTGTGTTTTATTTATAAAGCTGACTAAAACAGCAAGTGTCCTCATAATACAACTGACTACCACAAAGCGAGCAAGCTGGCTGTGACAGTTGGCAAAAGCTGTACCACAAAAATATACAGAGTAAGTCACACAAGGTTGCAGAATAGAGAATCTTTGAGTGTCATCTTCCAGGCTGGATACCCCAAAAAGATTGGAACTGGAAGCATGGAAGAAGATAGGGTTGTGTTCCAATATCATCTCAAAGATGAGTGGTTACTTATGACATTTGTGCTTGGGGAAATAAAGCTACATCTTTAGTATGTCTTCCAAGACTTAACATGGCCTATGGGTTAGTTTGCTCTACAGTGTTATCTCCTGTTGTCCTACGACCTTTCTCCAATGTGTTTTATTCTCAAACTCCCATCCCTGTAGACATATTTTTATTGTCCTTTAAAGAATTCTCAGAGTCTTTCTGCTTTTGACTTTACAGATTTTGTTCTCTCTGTTTGGAAAGCCCTTCCTCACCTTCACCTGAGAGTCTCTAAGGAGTCACCATCAGTATGCCAGACCCAACTTTACAATTAGCTTATGAAGCATTTCTTTATGTAATAATATCTCTGTTCTCATCGTTATTTTCATAACAGTCATATTATTCCAATATTTATGTTTGGAATTAACAATGTTAGTTGACAGTAGTCACCTTACCTCTACAGTGCAGTTTAAGCTACAATAGCATAAACGAATCATTTACCTCCTTGAAGTGCTAAGTGAAATGCTTCGTAATCTATACGCACTTAGTTATTTCTTGACAAGAAATAAATATAGTCATCCACAGGACAAATAATGATCATACATTTGAGGTTGAGAGAAAAAAAATATGTGATGACTTAAGTGGCCGATGTTTGCTACATAGAAAGCAACTGAAGAAGAGTCATAAAGGGGCCACTAAATTTCCAGCTAATAAATTTGATAGAACAAGGAGACAAAGAAAGATACAATTATAAAACAGAGGAACTAACTTCACGAATTTATTAATTACGACCTAACTGTGAGGATCAAAAGAATACCGTGCCAATTTCAAGTCACTGTTTCTCCGTTCCAAACACACCCTCCTCACAAAGCCGCTCTGTAAACACCGCAAGATGCCAACTTTGCCGATAGAGGGCGAGAGAGTCACGCTGTAGAAGAAATGGAATTTTCTTTTTTCTTTCTTTCTTTCTTTTTTTTTTCCTCCTTTCGGCAGCTTTGCTTTGGAGTTAGCCTCCTGGCTTCTGCAGCATTATTCCGTCCATGATGTGGGTGTGTGGTGAGAACATGTGGTGGCTTTTTGTACAGCCACGTATCCAGAGGACACAGTGACCTCATAGGCTCAGCTCAAGCCCCGTGACCGCCTTCAGAAAGTTATACTCCCAAGCATACTGACACTGAATGCCCCAGGCTTGGCATCCTCAGCAGCACCCAGACTTCCTTTGTGGACTCGCCTATGGGCTGGATGCCCGCACCCTGCAGGCTGGCTCATTTCCTTCCTGTCTGCTGAGTGTGGACCAGCTTCAGCCCAGAAACCCCAGAAGCGCAGTCTGCCATCCAGGAGATGCAACCATGCCTTCCCTAACAAGACTCAGGGCTAATCAAGCAGAGGATTCTCCTGACCAAGTTTGTCCTTGCAATTTTTACTTTTTAAAATTTATTCTACATATCAACCAGTTTCCCCTCCCGCCTCTCCTCCTATTCCCTTCCCCCACCTCATTTCTAATACCGCCCCCCCCCCCCAGCCATTTTTACTTCTCAGAAAGAGGAAGGCCTCCATGGGAGTCAACAAAGCACCTTGTATCAAGTTGAGGCATGATTAAGCTCCTCCCTGCTCCTCAAGGCTAAAAGAGGCAACCCCCTCCCCAATAGGGAATAGGTTCCAAAAAGCCAGATCATGCACCAGAGACAGAAACTAGTCCTATTTCTTTAACATAGAATATCTCCAGTTAAATTTACACTGTTGTGTCTGCTTCCTAATGACTTCAAGAATGAGACATGTATTTATCATTTAAAGTAAAGAGCCTTTTTCATAGGGACTTGCTTCTATATCTCTGAATTGCTGAGAACTTAATAAACCAGGGGCCTCTCTTGCAACGTGTAGATGAGAGTATGATTTAATAATCAAGGGAACAGAAGAGGGCATGTCACCCCAGTCACAATGACCCATTAGAAGAAAACTACAATGACAGTTACTTCACCAGGAGAGGGCATCCTGATCAGAATATTTGTTTACCTTTTCTTTTTCTTCATAAGCCAATTGCTTGCAATCATCTCCATTAATTGAGTTATCTAGAAATTACTTAGTGAAGGGACCTAGCAAATGCATCTAGAAGTTCTTCTAAAAAAACTGTAGACACAGGGAAGAGTTAGTAATGAGACCAGAGCAAAAAGGCTAGCAGCTGGCATTCCAGGGGAAGTTGCCCCTTTTGGAGTGCTTGCCGGTTTTGCTAATGTAGCTGCTCTAAATGTGGATAACTGTGGTTGGAAACAAACATGCACAACTTTGAATACGGAGTTAAGACTGTGCTCCGCCATGTGTAGAACTTGCAAATGTGTGAATTCCACAAGCTATTTCATAATGTCTGAGTTTCAAGCCCCCATCCCTAACCCTGAAGGTATATTCAATTGTTAAGCACTCACAAATGAAAATTTATTTTTCTCTATGGGAGTCTCATAGGATATGAAATCCTTTTAAGGTCAGGCCCCATGCACAGCACAGATGGCCAACTCAAAACAAACTCAATGGTAGTTTTAGAGGGTTTATTGTTTGTTTTGTTTTGTTTTTGTCTCATAATGATTTATTTAAGAACTTTTTTTTCTTTCTCTATAGGCCTTTGCTTATATAATGTGGTTGCTGGATTTGTGGTTTTATGAGCTTCTGTCTTTGACCTTCTGCATCTATATGTGGTTTTTTAATGAGTTTTCTTGGACTCTTTATTATTATTATTTATTTTTTAGATATTGGTTTATTTTCTATTGAGAGAGGTGGGGATGTGGATTTGGATAGGCCTAGAGTTAGGGAGGTTCAGGGAGATGTTGGAATAAGGGAAACCATAAACAGAATACATTATATGAGAAAAATATTTTCAGTAAAGAATTGTCTGTGTTTAATAATGGGCTCTTGGAAGGAGTGAGCTGACCCAGTATTCAATCTCATTTCTGGGGATTCTAAGGGAAATAAAGAGAAGATAATACTGTGCATAAGTCTGTCCCTTAGGGAAGTTCAAAATGCAGACAGATTTTGGGTTATCACCCAGAAAAGGACACCAAAACCCATATAAGAGACCAGTAGTCTGAGCCGTTCATCTTGACTATGATCAGCATATTAAGTATTTATAGCTCAGAGAAAGAATATACAGGGATATAGGGCCAGGGAGACTTCAAGCTGATAACTCTTGCTTACTAAATGTATGAGTTCTAGAAGATTCAACAGATAAGACACACTTTTATGAAAATCACTGTTGTAAAAAGCGCACAGAGAAACCACAGATGCTCACTTATGATCATATGCAATGTACAAGCAAACACATATCATTAAAAACGTCTTCCTATAAAAGCATTGTTATTATAGTTACATCAACAATTATGAGTATTTCATATTGCACCATAGTATGCATATTATGTATAATACTTTAATATATATTAACCAAAGGAAGAAAGAGAGATTTACTGTCTCCATTTAGTCTCCAGACTCTTCCCAGGTGTCATGCTCAGCTCTAAATTCCAGATTCCTCTGGGTAGAAAGTGAGAAACAAAGTTTGGAGATCCTAACTTCACTTTTGACTAATGTGAGCAGAAGGCTAGCTTAAGAGTTTGTTTATCTACCTGTCTTTGGTGGTTACTGTATTCACTTTCTCAGGACAAAAAGAGAACAGTTTTGTCATCTATTTGTTGGTAGCAAAGACTCTGTGGAGGAGTTATTTCTGTTTTTGTCACAGTTACCAGCAGAGCCCTTTGTCAATGAATGACTAACCATGAGGGTGGATAGGTGGATGGCATGGTCTACCACACTCTCATTGCCTTACATTCAATATGAGGGTCCAGTTCTTTAAGCACTTATGTATCTTTTTATGATAATGTAATTTTATCAACAAGATTCTTATGTTATAGATTGAACTCATCAAGAATTACATAATATTCTACAAAATACACTTGATCTTAGTCAAAAGGTGATAGAGCAAGGGATTACAAGCCTACAATCCATACCGCCAGAGGAGCTGGGAAACAAGGAGGACCCTAAGAGAAGATTGCATAGTCCCTTGAAGAAGGGGAGGAGGAAAAGAACCCCTGAGCAAATTGGGAGCGCCAGGCAGAGGAAAGGAAGAAGATGGGAAGGAGAGAAGGGAAGGTGGGAGAACAAGAGGACTGAGACAGGGGAGGAATAGAGGAAGACAAGACAGGAGATGCCTTGACAGAGGGAGACAGTACAGGTTTGGAGAGTGGTCTATCACAGGGGAAATGTTAGGGGATCCACAGGGATGACCCCAAATAAGAATATAGGCAATGGTTGAGAAGCTGCCTTTGATTTTCTTCCCCTATAATGAGACTGATGACTACCTTGGTTAACATTCCCAGAGCCTTCATCCAGTAGCTGATTGAAGCAGAAACAGGCACCCACAGCTAAACATTGAACCATACTCCTGGAATCTAGTTGTGAACATGGAGGAGGGATGAGCAAAGGAGCCAAGATGGTGCTGAAGAAACCCTCAGAAACAGTTGACTTGACCTGGTGAGAGCATGGAGACTCTAGTCATAAAGCTGCGGAATCAGCATTGGACCGAACAAAGCCCTCTGAATGTGGGTGCCAGCTAGGAGGCCAAGACAGTCTATGGAATCTCCCTGACTCTACCCACATATTTACACACACACACACACACACACACACACACACACACAGAGAGAGAGAGAGAGAGAGAGAGAGAGAGAGAGAGAGACAGAGACAGAGACAGAGACACAGAGAGACAGAGAGGCACAGTTATATGGATGAGTTCATATAACTTCTATGCAACTATTAGTAACTTCCAAATGATCCATTTTTCTTTATATAGCTATAAATACATCACATGATAGATTTTTAGGCAAATATTGTGAATCTTCTATGAAGAAAATACCATCAACTCTGCTCTTGTCAATCTGTAATAACAAAAGTTTAGATGGATGACTTTAGATAAATTACCTTTTAGCTTGTGAAGCTAGGTAATTGCAGCTCAAGAAGCTCTGTATTTTGTGTGGTGAGGTCTGTCTCTTACTTTGTAGGCAACTGTGTCCTTAGTAGTGTGTTCTAAGGGCTGAAAAGGACAAGTCAGCCCTCTGGAATTTCTTCTTCAATACCACCAGAATTATTCTATAGAGCTTGTCCTTTATGTTCTAATAACCACCCAAGGGTCCTCCTTCTAATTCCAATATATTGGGGGCTAAAATTTCAATATAAGAATGCTAGGAAAGCAGAAATACTTAGTCTACAACATTACTCTCTTGTTCCCTAAAAATCCATGTGTCTCATATGAAAAAAATATACTTCTTCCTCTTTGTTGTCCCCAAATTCTTAACTCATCACAGCCTGAGCTCTGAAGTCCACATTCACTAAGTACCAACATTACTTAGCATGGAATTAGAGGGGAAATTTATCCTGTGAGGAGTCCTTCCCAGACTATGAGCCAGTGGAGCTACATGCTCTCAAATACAATTGTAGGTTAGTTATAGGGTAGAACCTACTTATCCCAAAAGGGGAAAATTAAGAGAAAATGAAAAAGAGAAAGAAAGATCATGTTTCAAGCAAGTCTAAAACATAATGGATTGATGTCATTCAGTTTTGGACTGTAGGGTTTGAGCATGATTCTTTGTGTAATGTTCTGCCTTCTAGGCTTGAAGAAAGGGGAGTTATGCTAGGACTCAGTTTGGTAGGCTCAGTTCTGCCCCAGCTCTCTGCCATCACTTTGCAAAGCTGTTCTGTTGAGTTGAGATCCCATGGCTACAGAGCTCTCCTGGTGGTGTCCTGTCTCTGTTTTCAGATAGCCTGACCCTGTGAAAACAAGGTAGACACAGCCAAATTTCCCAGTCTGTACGTTTCTGACCTTTGATGACTGTAGAAGTCCTAAGGTTCTCTGGCTCACTTTCAGGGGTTACTTTTCTACAGTTCATTCATTCATTCCTTCATTTTTTTAATGATGTGAAGAATTAAACTTAAGGCCTCATGCATATTGGACAAGTGATCTGTCACTGTGTTCTATAGACTTAAACATATTGCCTGGCTTCTTTTGAAGTGACTGTATCTTCATAATTTATTTATCAAATGTAGCTACTTAGTCACAGCCCAATGTTTTCACTTTTTTCAATATTAATAGGCTGAGAATTTTCAACATTTAAAAATTTTTCTTCCTCAACTTTTCTGCTCTCTCATGACCTCTGCAGTCTTCCTTTACTTCCCTTTTCATTCTCGTAGCTCCCTCCCCCCTCTTCCCATGTTCTCAATTTGCTCAGAGGATGGTGGTCCTTTCCCCTTCTCCAGGGACAAAGTTTGTCTGTTTTAGGGTCCTTCTTGTTTACTAGTTTCTCTGGCAGTGTGGATTGTAGGCTGGTAATCCCTTACTCTATGTCTAAAATCCACATATGTGTGAGTACAT